TGCTGCCTGTGAGAATGAAAAAAGTAACCGATTTGTATTTAGATACAGGGATATTTGCATTGTTTAAGCAATGATGGTATGTTTAAGGGTTTTGCTGTCCCTACTACCCTTTGAAAAAGACATTGTACCTTTTTCCAAAAGGTTTGTACTGGTGGACAGGACCACCAAATGTGCTGGAGGTTATCCGTGTCCCTTTTGCATCTCTAGCAAGTTTCAGACATTGTAGGTGAATATGAATCGGCTGGCGTAATGTACCACCAAGCTAGAACCTTGTAGTTATTTTCCTGCAGCGGGACACTTGTGTGAGAGTGGAACGTTCTATAAAAGACTTTGTTCCAGTTTTTAGGATCCAGAGGGGGCGATATATCATTGTTCGTGTAGGAGGGTGGGTTTGGATATATCATGGGTTGCAACATCTTGTAGCAGGTAGACAGTAGTTTAGGGATTGGTGAGGTAGATGAGCACAGGCGTTCAAAGTGTGTTTCTGGTCTCGGGCCCGTGTTCGGAATGTTTTTAGGAAAAGTTTCAACTGATGGCATCTGAATTTCTGAAGGTGTGTGGGGTTGTCAGCGTTATACAGTGTGTTGAGGGGCAGCCGCATTGAGTTCCGGTATAAGAGAGATACCAGTATATATCTGGAATCAGGTTGCTGTGTGGTCGTGGTGAGTTGCCATTTATGTCCCCCCATCGGGAAGCCGGGGTTTTGCATTATCAGGTATTTTGGGGAGAGGGATGGGGCTATGTCAGGGTATTGAGCAACTTTCTTCCATACCGGCATCGTAGCTGTTATTCTGGGATGTTGGGGGATTTCAGTAGATGTTTTAGTGCAACCAGCCCTGGCAATGCCTGCAGTGGGATGTTTGAGAAAGATTGTTCCAAGGCTATCCACTGTTTGGATGTCGGTCTCATAGACCAGTCCACTATAGGTGCAAAGCATAATAGTATAGTATAAAGTTGGGGACTCCCAATCCTCCCATGTTTTTGGGTCTTGTGAGAGTGGTGAACGTTTCTTATGTGCCCATATATGTTTGGTAAATATCGATTGCATATGTTGAAAAAAGGTTTTCGGAATTGCTATAGGTAATGTGTTTAATAGGTATAGAACTCTTGGTAGAATGTTCATGGAAAGGATGTTAACTCTTCCTAACCATCTAAAATGTAAGATCTTTAGCTGTAGCTTGTAAAAGGGGCGGGTAGTTTGCGGCATATAGACCAGAGCTGTTGGAGGTGAGTCTGATTCCTAGGTATTTAATACCTTTCGAGGTCCATTTAAAGTGACATGTGTTTTTAAGTGGTTGATGATCAGAGGTGGAGTGTTGAGATTAAGTATCTCACTTTTCTCAATGTTCATTTTAAGTTAAAGTTAGCCGTATTGCCATATATGGTTAGTTCCTCCATGAGGGGCGGCAGTGAGGAAGCTGGAGTGCGGAGAGTAAATAATAGGTCATCCGCCAAAGCAGACACCTTGTGGGTAGAGGTACCGCAGTATGGAGTTGTTTTTGTGAATGGCCTGTAGCACCAACTCTAGGGTCAGTATAAAGAGTAGAGGGGACAGGGGACATCCCTGTCTCAAACTGTTTCGGATAGCAAAGGGTATGGATATTTGCCTATTTACCTTAAGACTGGCTGATGGTGTGGAGTAAATTGCAGAAATCCAGTTGAGCCAATTCTGTCCAAACCCCAGCGTTATTAATGTTGAAGTAAGGAATGACCCGTCCACCCTGTTAAAAGCCTTTTCGGCATTTATTGAGATTACTATGGAGGGGATTGTAAAGGAATAGGCTTTATGTATTAAATTGATTATTTTGGTGGTGTTATTTTTGGCTTCTCTTTTAGGGACAAAGCCCAATTGCTCAGGGTGGATTAGGTCCCCCAATAGGGGTTTCAGTCTAGTTGCTAAAAGTTTGGTAAAGAGTTTTAAGTCCACATTTATGAGGGATATGGGTCTGTAGTTCCCACATGATTCCGTATGCTTTCCTGATTTGGGGATCAGGGTTATTGTCGCTTCTAGGGCAGAGGGTGGGATATAAGGTTTAGATGCAAGTGAGTTTATTGCTTGTAAAAAGTGTGTTTTTAAGTCCATTAGAAACGTGTTGTCGTAGTGGTTGTGGTAACCGTCCGGTTCCTGACTTTTGTCAGTCGGTTTCAAGTGAACAGGGGTGGTCAGCTACTCCTCCGTAAAAGGTTTTCTTCTAAGGCGCGGACCATCGCTGGCATCAGAGTAGTGTCAAATTTGTTTTTCAAATAGTTAAGATTATCTTAGGTGGTAGTGGGATTGTTTTGTAGGTTGAGAGTGATAATAAGTTCGAAAAGAGTCTGCTATCTCCTCTGTCATGTGGAACAGCTTATTTAGTTTGTTTTTTATCTTGGGTATGTACGTCGTGTGTTGTTGTTTTAATGCTCTTGCTATCTTCTTTCTACACTAATTCCCTTGAGAGTAATTTTTGTTTGGTCCACATGAGGGACCTTTTAGCTCTATAGTTCAAAAGGATTTTGAGGTCGGAGCGGGATACTAGTTTCTGGCAGTCATTGTCAGAGAGTGAGGTTTTGTGGTTCGTTTCCAAGATGTGGATTTTATCTAAGAGTGTTTTACGCTCTGCAGATCTTTCTTTTTTAAGGATAGATCCCCATTTGATGAGTTCCCCTCTTATGACAGTCTTGTGGGCTTCCCATATTGTGTAGTGGTCAGTGTCAGTCGTGGTGTTCTCATTAAAAAATAGTGTGTGAAAGCTTCAGAGATAGTCCATTTGACTCTATCATTTTGCAGTAAATGAGGGTTAAGTTTCCATTGGGTCTGTCTCATGGGAATCCAGGGGATGCGTAGTGTGAGATGAATTGGAGCGTGATCCGACCATGAAATGTCACCAATGGTTGCTGAGTGAAGCAAGGGCAAAGAGTGATGGGTCACCAGAAACATATCAATCCTAGTATAGGGTTTTTTAGGGTTAGATAAGTACGTGTAATCTCTAAGAGAGGGATGGAGTATTCTCCAGCAATCTAGTAATTGGTATTTGGCGAGTAGAGTATGCATCTAGAGTCTCATAGAGGTTAGACGTGAGGGATTTATTGCAGTACTATCTTTGTGACCATCTAGAGATAGATTATAATTCTCCTTCCGAAAGTTTATGAACCTTTGTCATGTTATGTCGAAATGTGGCGCATTGATGTTTGTTAGGAAGATAGATGCTTACCAGTGTAATGGGTATGCTACCAAGCAGGCCATTCAGTATAAGGTATCTACCAGAGTGGTGATTTCTATATGTAAAGGGTGTAGTAGTACTAAGCCAGGCATAGGCAACCTTCGGCACTGCAGATGTTTTGGACTACACCTCCCATGATGCTTTGCCAGCATTATGGGTGTAAGAGCATTATGTAGTCCACAACATCTGGAGTGCCAAAGGTTGCCTATGCCTGTACTAAGCAGTATGGCTAGCCCTCTGGATTTAGTGTGGATATAGTTGTAGTAAATATGTGGGTATCATTTATGATATAACTTGGGCGCCTCAAACCCTCTTAGGTGGGTTCCTTGTAAGAATACTATATTTGGGTCTGTTTTCACTATTTCCCTCATTACCATCGATATTTTCTCCAGTAGGTTGAGTCCTCTAACACTGTGAGATATCATTTTCATAGTACCCATGTTGTGTGTGAGTGGTGTTATAAGATGTAGTGTTAAGTGTTCCCCTCCTGTGTGTGTGACAAAACCCTTGTCTGATCATGAGCATCCAAACATAAATATAAGTAACATATATACAATAGAAAAAAATTATTTAAAAAAGCGGAACCTTAAAACTGTTGGTCTTGAGTGTGAAAAACACTCCTCGCAGGAGTCGTGAAAGTCATTGTTATAGTCCACCTTGGTTTTTAGAGTGGAAATTTAAGTGTTGGTCAAGGTGAGCTTGTGACAAAGCCTGGAGTTGCACCACTCAGTGGGGGTGGAAATACTAAGTCAAATAGTAAAAAGATGAGCAAGGAATGTTCAATTCCAAGTGTATATGGACAGAACTAATTCGTATATCGGTTATATATATGGTCAGAGTAGCCTGAGCTCCCGAAGAAACTATATTAGATGGATAACCCATAAAAGTAAGAAAGCTGAATATCAAATAGTATGCGCTATTTCGCGCAATTTCTTATTGAAGTGCGCTTTTAAGGTTTAGTTATACACTTAAGGACAGTATCAAATGGTTATATACTTGGTGCATTTATAGAACATTATAAGTAAACATGTCCACATTGTTTTGTTGCAAATCAGGTAGTTGTCTTAATGGGGCTAGGAGTATATCAGTCCCTCTTTTTTCTCCCTTGTGTGCTGTTCTAGTTATACGGCACATTTGTTGTATTTTTAGAACATAATTAACAGTATTATATATCTATACATATAAGTACACACATATATATATATATATATTTTTTTTTTTTTTATTTTTTTTTTAGAGTTTTTAGTCAATTGTTGAGAGGGAGGGGTGTCATATATAGCTTATCGGGGATACAGATCCCCATGTTGTATAGGGCGGTTATGAGAGAAGTCTGGGGGCACAGTAACTTAAATATGACATACTATCAAATGCTATCAGGGGATCATCAATTATTTATAGCATATAAGACAGTGTGCCCAGCATGGGACACAGATGGCCCAACCTGAAGTATAGAAAACATATAACAATTATCAGATTCAAACTGGGCATATCAAGAGGACCCATAAGAGAGGGGGAACATAAGAAGCATGTACCTGAAGTTACTTGTAGAGATCTCTCAAGTGTATCTTGGACTCGTGGACGGTCTCGGAGGAATGGGCTTCGCTGGATGTGTGGGCTGCGGGCATTTTCGTCCTCATGTCGATGACCAACGTTGTCGCTGTGGTAAGGCTGGTGTGGGGATCTGTTCCATTGCCAGGTGCCAATTCGGGATGTTCATTTCTGGCAATTCCAGGTGTATCTGAAATTTAGGTATGTTCTCCGGGATGTTTATGGACATGGTTTGTCTGGCATGTTGCACCATCAGGGAGAATAGATATCCTCATCTGTATGTAATGCTTTCCTCTTGCAAGGCCAGAGTGAGGGGTCGGAGTGCTCTTCTTCCTTGCAGCATGGCCTAGGAGAGGTTAGGGAAGATCTGTATGTTGACTCCTTCCGGATTGAGGAGGTGCGTGCTTTGCATTGAATCTCTTTTTTGAGTGTGAAATAATGTACTCTGCAGATCACGTCTCTGGGCGTCTCTTTTGATATGCCTTTAGGTTTAAGGGCCCTGTGAGCACTATCAAATAAAATGGTAGATTCTTCTGGTCGTTGAAGAATAAAAGTTATAGTGTTTGCTATATATTTCAGTTGGATCTGGCGAATTTGTAGGTTGTTCCTCCGGCCCCTATTGTCTAGGTCGTCCAGGCGTCTCATAATGGTGGTAATATGAACATTGGTGTCAATCTGATTCTGTTCCACATTATGGATTCTGTTGTGTATTGTGTCCCTGCCATCCTCTAATTCACTGGCTCAGTGTCCCACTTGATGGACTTTTGCAGTCAGGGTAGATATTTGTTCCTGCATCGAGGATTCCAATTTGGTAAGAATTGATGCCATATCTGTTTTAGATGGCAAGTTTTGCAGTATATAGTGGATGTCATGGTCTCTGCTGTATGAAGATTGTTGCGACAAGACTAGGCTTCTTTGAGGGGAGTCGTGCAGCAAAGATGGCGCTTGCATGCTGTCCTCCGCATCCAGCATTAAAATTTTAGACTTTTCCTGGAAAAACCTGTCTAATTCACCGGTTTTCCTACTCGGTGTCTGCTCCAGGCGGTCTTGAGAGAATATGGTCTTTTTTTTGCTACACATTTTGAGAGCTTGGGGTAGTTTTCAACTTATTATAGTTTAGTTCGTCGGGAGCTCAGTAGACACACGTCTGCTCACATTGGGATCGTGGCCATGCCCCCATCCACTTGGCTTTTAATTTATTTTTCTCTAGTTACATTTTCTTTTTCTTTTTGTGTCCTTGAGAAATTTTTATGCAGCGCTTTTCAGATATATCTTCATAAATAAATATGTTCAGCCAATATGTTTATGTTCCCCTTCTGTTTCTTCACTTTTATAACGTTTTTACTTTCAATAAAGGATTTATTTTTTTTGGTGTACCCACCAGTTATAATCTATACATCTGCTAGAATTTCTGCTACTGTAATGAATAGGTGAAATGTAAAGCTATTTAAAAGTTTGGTACCTCCCTCACCTGTCAATCACTCTCTGTGCCAATGGCATAGAGATCAAAGCCATGATTGAGTGACAGAGAAGAGCAGGAGAACCCTCCTTCAAGTAGTTCTCCTGCAAAAGTGTAACATCCAAAAGGAGGGAAGCAGATGGTAAGTAATCGTTAGGATAAATTATATAATTACCTCCTTAGTTGTTATAGCTAAGGTTACAGCTGGTATGAGAAATTCACTTTGAAAGGAAAAGAAAGAAAATTATAATCTACCCGCCACTGTAAGGTTTCTAATTCCTATCAATTTAATAATTTCTATAATTGCTTAGTACACATTGAGTTAAGTCTTGGGCTGTGCCACAAAACAGTATAATAATGGTGTTCACATTAAGAACACCAATTGTCTTAGACTGGGAGACAATTATGTGAATAGTAGTTCAAAAGTATTCTGGGAACGAGGCAATGCATCCCTGATCTAGATGTTTTCCTTATCACTTAAACCATCGAACAACTAGTGTTCTATTTGATTAGCTCGAACAAGTGTTAATGTAGAAGCAATGTAATTTGGGATCTCTTATTTGTAGATCTCTAGAACAGAGATAATCAATTTTCCCAGCTCAGTTTACCCTCGCAACCGGTTTTACTGCCAATTATAGTTGTTTAAAAGCTGTTAGTGGTAAAAGTATCGAAAGGGTAGAAAAGAAATATAATATTTAAACTAAAAGTGTAATTTTCATGGTGTGTAGTATACTTTAACACAGAGGATTTGATCCGTTCCAGTTATTAAGACTGGATATTAATTTCCTAATGAGCGTCCGGTAATTAAAAACCAGATACATCTGATGTTTTAGCACAATCATTAACCCCTAGATATTCGGGTAATTGGTTTGCCAAGTGAAAATAATCTGATTTAGAATAGTTCTGTTAGTTTGTTATGAAGTTGTGATTTAGTGGTCCTGGAATGATAGGGAAAGCATGAATAAGGTGATACTTTTTATATATTACGATATATATTCTGTAATTTTTATATACTTAAATATTTTTTTTTTTTAAATTCTCCATGAAGTAAATATGGAGACTGAAAAATAAAATTAAAAAATATAAATTTTTTCAATATGTGCTTCTCTGCTTATTTCAAAGAAAATTTTAAAAAGTGTTTGAAAAAAGCAAATTGCCTATAAATCATTTAGTGCCATTTAGCTTTTCTTCATTTATATCATTTGTATCATTGGATTTTTTGCAGATGTATATCAATTTACATTTAACTGCAAAATAATTTGTGAACAATATTTAGGATAAATATCACACAAGATATTGTATAGAGTTTCTTAATTCATAAATATGTATAGAGTTTCTTAATTCATTGAATAAAAGAGTTGAATGTATTTTATGTATAATTCTATCATGCCAATTAAATTTCTGAGCACAGTTAATTTATACAATTTAAAATAGAAATTCTTCATCATGTATTTATTTTTACCAAGTGAAAAAATAATATTTTTATCATTTATATACTATTTTAATGTGGGAAAGTAGTAAAGGAACTATCCCTTAAAGGAACACAAAACTGTATTTCTAATGCTATAGTGTCCGAATGCCATAAAATGGTATACGGGCACTATAGCATTAGCTGTCAATTAAGAGGAGAAGGGCGGAGGCGGAGCCAGTGCCAAGGGATGTTTTTTTTACCCTCTCCAACACCGGGGGCACGACACATAGAAACATAGAATGTGACGGCAGATAAGAACCATTTGGCCCATCTAGTCTGCCCAATTTTCTAAATACTTTCATTAGTCCCTGGCCTTATCTTAAGGTATAAGGCTATCATAGACTTAAGATAAGACCAGGGACTAATGAAAGTATTTAGAAAATTGGGCAGATTAGATGGGCCGAATGGTTCTTATCTGCCGTCACATTCTATGTTTCTATGTGTCGTGCCCCCAGGGTTGGAGCGGTTAAAAAAAAAGAATCCATTGGCACTGGCTTTGCCTCCTTCTCCTCCTCCTGAATGACAGCCAGAGAGAGTATAACAAGGTTAATTTCTAAAGTTCCCATTTATAATGAAATCTTCCTTTTTTTGTAAAATGAAAATAATAAAAGCAAGCTGAGGTGCTTTATGGGTCTGGAGTGTTCCTTTAATTAATATGGTATACTAATGGCTTGTGTAGTTCAAAGTGGGTAGGGCATTGCTCCTTCCACTGACTTGTTGGGTTCTTCCCACTTAAGCCCATGAGATGCCATTTCCTGTTGAAAACCAGCTGTATTTTGAGTCAATAAAGAATCATGACACGCCATCCCACCTGCCCCCATGAACCAGCCCCCACTGATATGCTCTCTCCTCCATAATTTAACATATCACTTCTCCAGTCTCAAAACGTATAAAGAAGGCCCTGGTCAAAGAGCAGAGGTGGCCAAAAGGGAGATCCACAACTATTCTATAACTCCCATGATGTGTTGCCAGCTGGGGATTTACTATTTGCCTATGGCTGCAGGGTTGAATATAATGTAGGATATGTACATTTGAATGCAGGGTTGTTTTATTTACGAAATATGTGTGTGTGTGATTGCTGGGGTGTATTTGTATGTAGTTTTGGTGTTAAATGCATGTATGTATTTGTCTGTAGTGATGGTGCTTGAATGCACAACTCAAATGTGCCTGGAGGGGACCAAACAGGCAGAGCAGCAAGGCTGTGGACACATAAGAAAGAACCCAAGGTCAAAGAAGACAAAACTGAGCCATGAGCATTAGTCTCAAACTTCTTATAATGGATACCCATCATTCCGTCACCACTCACCTGTATGTCGCCATACACTTCCATGTGTTCCACCATTACTGCTCACACAGGTGGCAGATATAAAGCACATGTTGGGGGTAAGGCGATAGAGTTGAAGAAGGGATAGGTTTGTGCAGCTAGATCAGTGTAAAATTCTGTATACAGCTTGGCAGGACTGGTGCCCATTGCATATGTGGATGTGAATATCTCGTCTCTGAGAGTCATGCATATCTAGACCTGCTGGTTCATCGGTATCTTCCTGGGGAGAGCTGTGTCCAATTAGACCTACCAGGGCCGGATTAAGGGCTTCATGGGGCTGTTGCTGACGATTTTGGTGTGCATTTTTATGGAAATGCATACAATGAAAACCACTTTTTTTTTTTAAGAGAAACTAAAAATTTTAAATATCTTTAGAGTGCCGTAATAGAAACTTACTGAATGTTTCTTTTTAGTTCAGAATAGGAAACTGGATTATTAAATGCAACAACTGCAATAAACACAAATATTTTTCATGAATATAACTTAAACCTTACAAACAATCGTGTATCATAGCTATCTGTTTCTTAAAGGAACACTTTAAACACCATAACCACTGCAGCTCGCTGTGGTGGCTATCATGATCCTAGAAGTGTGCTGGTCCCATCCCACCGTAACATGTTCATCTGATATATTATTCGACTTCTCTCTTATGTAAAAGCCATGTGTCGATTCTGTGCAAGACAAATACTCGGAGAGCGTCAGTTGACTCTATCAGCCAGTTAATGAGCTCCTATCTTGCACAAAGTTGACTTACACCTTCTGCAGCTTGAAGACTGAACGCAGTATGGGTGCCCAGCAGGATCCAGGTAGGATGCATCAAACCATAACAAAATGGCAGTATGTATAAACTCAGGGGAATCCTGGTGTCTGACTGCAGGTGTACATTTGTAGAGTAGAGAGTCTGTGGGTTAATGAAGGATGTATTTGTATAGCATAAATGTGCTCTGCATTATCACACCAATTCTCAGCGAGTTTCTGTGTTTCTGAAAAGTTAGTGTCAGCAGGTGTGCAAATAAATAGTGAGTCAGTGTGTATGTTTAAGGTCCTAAGGGGCTATTGGTGCAGTCACTCTTGCTTTAATACAACTTTTTTTTTTACAAATAAAAAGGAGGATTGTTTAGCAATTCAGGGTGGCAAGTACAATTTGTTGTGGGCCAATACGGCATCTCAGCATGTTTAACATTTCACAGATACACACATAGGTTCTCTCCCAGACATACAGATTCAAATACTCTCAATCACTCACTCACTCACTCACTCACTCAAAAACTCATACACATAGGTACAAAACAAATGCACACACAGATACACACAGGTTCACACATTCAGATTCAACTACACCTCGATTCAAGCACGCACTAAAACACAGACACACATTCACACAGAAAAGC